CCGGCCCCCACCGCCCCTCTACCTGCCCCGCCAACAACCTCTTCCGGGATTCTGACCTCCTCCTACACCGACGGAGGCAGTGATTCGGACGTTCTACCCGCAGTTCAGTCGCTGGAGTCACAGTCTGCTTGGCGCAATATTGGATCCCAGCTCTCTGACTCTTCATGTAATTAATCGATTCGTTTTGCCTACTAATTTTATTTTAGTAACACTTATTTATAACGCTTATTTTGTGTTCATTGGCTGTTAATTTCGGCTGGCTGCTACTACACTTGACATATGCCTAATGTTTTTTCCACTGAGTCTTTGATCATCCTATTCCCACTTCATCTGATATGTATTTGAATTAGAGTCTCCATGCACTGGAGACCGAGATCCCCATTTTGCCTTCAGATAGGTGAGAGAAAGGCTACTGACAAGGAATAGGGACATTGTAATTCGCACTTTGTGGCTTGTTAGGCGTCATCCACCATCTACTCACCCCTCTTCTCCTGGGCTGTAACACCCAGGATTCTCGGTCATTTAGTCAAATGCTCTACTAACTGAGCCATCGGTATGTTGTCCCATCCAGTTGCAATCAGTGAGCGTCCTTCACCGTCGGTTAACAAAAAGCCAGTTAATTTGGTTCTTCCGTTAGTTAGAGAGGGCATTTGCATGGGTTTCTCTTAGTGTTGTATTTGGGTTAGCGTTAGGCTGGTGTAATTGAGCTGAAGGCCTCCTCATCCTATTCTTGTATCTTACTGAGTAATCGAAAATGGCATTTCGCCGACTTTGACTTCTTTAGCAGAGTATTCGTGATTGGATGCTGATCTCCTCCTCTACTTTATTTCTGTTTACGCGTTGTATTTGCGTATTTTGTCCCCGTTCGTTAATTTCCTCCTTTATTGGGTTCCCTTTCTTTTGCAGCCGCTTTGATGGAGAAGTATCGACGACCGTCGCTGACGGAAGATAAAATCCTCATCGTCCCACTGGTCATTAAGCCAACTTCTCTCTCCCAGCCACCCAATCGATCTGGACACATGGACTGCGAAACCGTTGGCATCCGACTTGTCGGTCACAAGGACGTGAACAATCGTGGTGTCTTCATTTGTGGCATCAGAGAGTCCTCCCTTGCGTCGGCTGCAGGCGGCCTCATGGTTTCTGATGAAATTGTTCAGGTACAGGAAGCCTGCATTATGCTTCTACCATTTGTGCGCTTTTCTGCTTTTAAGTTTACTCGTGGTCTACCGTCGCCTCTGTCTGTAGGTGAATAACGTTTGCGTGTTGGGCTTGACACATCTCTCCGCTCAGCTGCTCATCTCGAAGGAGGCGGAGTCTGTCCGCCGGCTCTTTAGTGTTGGCGAGGCCAACAGCCGGACGAACACCCTGTTCATTGTTGTGCGCCGGAATCCCACCTACAATTTCTCCGTGATGGCCAAACCCTCAAACCTCGTTAGCCACTTTCCTCCCGGCCAAACCCCTGTAGAAAGTGAGATAAAAGAGGTACTAACTGCCCCCTTCTCCTCTTTCTCTCCCCTGCTCCCTATGGTTGTAAATGCATTTTGGTTACCGGTTTCATTTCGTCTTCTAGTCTTATTCCATTGGCGACAACATTTTATTCCCCAGTGTCAATCTGACTCATGAAAGGGAATATTCAACATGCTTATTATACTACTCGTGCTGAGGGAGTAACCATTTTATTATTATTTAGACTCCACTAGCTCTTCGCTTGTAAGCATGTAATTGAAATATTTTTCCCCATCTTTCTTTTCTATGCATACATTTTTCGTCCACTTTTTTTACCAGCAAGTTGCTCAGAGGCACATTCACTTATGTTTCCCTCCATTAACTGAAACTCTTGCAATGCTGATCTTTTAGTCCACATCCTCGATCTTTCATTCCTCACCTCTCCGTCCGACCCAGGAAGGCAGTCGACCGCCACCGACCAGGAAATCTGTGAATGTCGAATTCGTGGATGTCGTGATTGAGCGGGTATGTTGGGCTCCTTTTGCTGTCAAAATCCAATTTTTCTGGTTTTTTTGCCATTTTTTACCGCCCACGGTTAATGTCTTTCTCGTTTTCCCCAATGCTGCATCAGAATCAATCTGGATTTGGACTCTGTCTGGTGAATATGAACAGTGCTCACGAGTATGGTGTCTTCGTGCAATCCGTCGATCCTAAAAGCCCAGCAGGCCAGGTCAGCCTTTGTTTTTTCCCTCTCTGTGTATTTCGATTGCTAGCACTTTTCTTTGTTTTGCAAAAATTCCAATAGCCCGAAATAGCTATACTGCGGTTTTTCTATCTTGCCGGAATACTAAGAGCATAAAAGGATATGTTGCTGACACTTAGCTAGTAACATATCAATTATTAGTAGCTTTTCGAAAAATACAATCGGTTGGAACGATTTGCAAAGGCATCAATCCAGGATGAGCACATCCTGAGAGATAGATCGGTGTACAAACAAATACTAAAAACTTAAAATTTACATTTCGTTTACGATTGAAAAGTCGTATTGGCAAACAGCTGTTTTTGGTCATTCATTATCAGGCCTTTACAGTGGCATGGAAAATATGCGAGTAAAATGGGCGGTTATGTACGGTGTTTATATATTTCTTAAGGTGGGGGGGGCAATAAGTCATCTCGTCGTTCCCTTGTCTCGTACATGCCGG